CCCCCAGGGATAAGTTGCTAATCGCCCGTCAGACCAGTGAGCGATGCCCATAGCAGAGCGCGTTTTTCCTCATAAAGCGCACAGATCGCCCGAGATAATGGTAGCTTTCGCCGAGTGATTTGTTACACCAGCCCCAAATACCGGACAAAGGGCGGTCATGCTACTGCCGCTGAGGCTTTGATCCCTATAATTAGATCGAACGTGATACTGTCATTGGTGGGACCATCCCGCAAGAGTAAATTCGCCAGTATTCAATATCATGAAGGCATGGGAAGCAATGCCTAAATTTATGTATATGTCTTCTATCTAGCATCTGTCGTGGTACTTTAGGGCTTTAGTCATTAATACTAATAACAAGTTAATGAAGGAACTCCAAAGGGTTATTCAGTAAATTGAGGGGATGATGTATGAACGTCTATAACCTGAAAGTACAAACACACTGAGACAGCTAATTGAATGCAAACATGTGCTCATCCATTGCCGACCTTCATAGTTAAAATTCCCTCAATTATACCACCCCTGCTCCGGCCGATAATATGCTTAGACGCGGCATTGCACATTGCGTACGGTACGATTTTTGGCTTCTCTATCTTCCGTTTTTGCTTTTCTTTCATACCTTCGTTCCGCCGATGCTACAGCCTTGCCACTCCGCGCATGCTAAGAGATCACAGACGTGTGTAGTGTAGGTATGTACCAATAGATGAGGCCAGCGAAAGATATTTATTTTAATTTGTTAGAGCCTCATTTTTACAAATTGTTTCATGTTAAAATTATAACAAGATAGAAAACCATGAACAGACCATTCTAACAAGTACAAATTGGTCTGATTCACATCTTCTCCGATCCGCTCGGAGATTTCTTCCACCGGACGGGCTCCACCTGAATTACACGGGCATTCATCACCGGGACCAGTGACACAGCGCCGGTCCGGACTGCCGCCGACAGCGCCGTCCGCATTGTCACCGGTGCGCCGCCGTTTGCCGCGCGGACGGTTCACCGGGACCCCGCGGCGTCACCGCGTGGACGGCCTCGCCGGCAGTGTCCCGCCGGCGCCCCGTTCAAAGGCCACAGCACAAAACCCACAGTCACTGTCTCTCCCGCCGTTGCCACCGTCCGCTGGTCGGTCCGACAAAGGGCGGCAGGCTCACGGCCATCGCCACTGTCCGCCACCGCGGTGTGTTATATCCGGCGGGTCTCCCGACACCGGCCGCCGCCTCCAGCGTGGGCGCCGTCCTAGAGACTGCAGCAGCCGGATGGGCGCACAAGACACTAGCACCGGCCGGCCGCGGCGACTGTGGCGGCGGACGGGGAGAATCTATATACCCTGGGGAGAATAGAAGGCGGCGTGGCGGCGGCAAGCGGAGCGGAGTAGCGAGAAGACGCTGCGAGAAGACGGGCGAAACAGTAAGAAGACGGAGAGAAGGCGACATGCGGACGGAGCGAACCAGTGAGAAGGCTAGGCGATGAGAAGGCGTTCGTCGTGGCGGAGAGAATAAGTGGTAGGAGGTGGCGGCGGGCAGGGCGGGCAGGTGAGAAGGCGATGCTCGCGGCAGCCGCGGATAGAAGACGGCAAGCAAGCGGAACAGTTCGCGGTGGAGCGGATAGAAGGCAGTGAGAAGGCGGTGAGAAGACAGCAGCGCTGGCCGTGGCTGCCGGATGGAACGCTGGAGTGGCCGCCGGTGACCGGGCCGAGCAAAAAGCGCCGCCGCCGAGATTAGATCCGGACACCCGGGCCGGCCATAATGGTTTGATTACGGCCAGCGCCGGCTCCCTGTCTAATTGGCTGGCCTGCCGGCGCTGCTGGCGCCAGATCGTGACCACGGCTACCCGGCGCTGCCCGGAGCTACTCTCAGCACGCCGGGACTGTTCTTAACCCATTAATTTCTGCATTACGTCCATCTGGCTCTACCACTTAAGATCTATTCCGAACTTAATTTTGCTACATTGCTCGCAGCATGCAACCACCTGCTGCTACTCCAGGTCTCTTCACTGCAAATCTAAGTCCTCATGGTGCTTCAGCAAGTCCGTCAGCTGCCGCATCTGACTTTCTCGACACAACCGATGCGGTGCTCCTCGGTCCCTCCTCACATTCCGGTCACGGGTGAGCGATCTCCAAGTAGCCAGCTCATGTCGCTCGCAGAAAACGCCGCCCCGCTCGCTGTACGCGCTGTGTGTGGCGCCGGCCAGTCGAAAGCGGGTCACATATGTTGCAGAGTGACGTCATCAGTTTGCAGTTGTGCATTGCACAGCGGCTGTCATGTGGACCACAATGGCCTGCGAATGACATCCGGCAGAGCCCTGGCAGTGGTCTCTGGTGGCACCACACTCGAAATGGCACATGGAGCCGGACGTTTGCGGTCGGCAAGTGCATTTTTGTTCTGGTGCTAATTGAAGTTTATTGGTGCGACTCTTTTTCGGCACATTCAAATGCAGCGTGGTCTGTGTACTTTTCCGACACTGGAAACTCTTTTATGAGGATGTTTACATCTCTACTCAGCAGCATTATATAACTTCACGATGGAAAACGGTCCCACTTTGCAGCTAACTAGTTCAAGTAACGAGTAATGCAGCGATGAAGATGAAGAAATGTTAGTTAGTCCATGCAAAGCGTCTGACGTTTGATCTGTGTGAAAGGCGTGAGGTTTCTCTTCTTGGTAGCACCGTATTCGTTATCCTTTATGCGCGGCAGAATAAAAAGGTAGTGGCGGTTTGGTGCGAAAAGGCACTTGACTTTAACTGGCACTTGAACAGGAGCTTAAAGGTCTCAGAGAAAAAGTTTATGGTGGGGTATCCGGCACGTGAAATCCATGAGCTAGTGGGGTTCATGTGCGATGTGCGCATCGGGCAAATAATGTCCTGGATTATGCGTCTCAAGAGCCGTTGTACATTTTTCTCACCAATGCGTATATCACAAAACCATCTAACGGTGTTCAACGGTCAGATTCCTCGCGGCTTTATTGTGCATTTAGTGCAGGAGAGGAAGATTTTTAATTAGACTCTTACACAGGTTACGTAAATATTTCACTCTCCGGCTCGTTTCATGGTTACTCGTGTAAACTGTGCGGTTACGATAATTTTTTCGAGGGCTGCAGAATATTAGCCATATTATCGCAGAGGCTGGGCAGAATTTTCAGCATCGTGAGTGAATGTACCGATGTAATAGATGGGAGGCACTGCATGGTGGCTGCATTGTGGCTACCATATCGTAGTGCACATCGTTGTGAATCCAGCTCTGAGGGTGTTTTGGAATGCAATCCCACTTAGCCAGGTCTGACTGTTTTATGTAAACCGCAGTTCACACATGACCGTCAGTCTGTCGGTGTCGGGCCCGTCACCGTCGACCTGACGGTCTGCAGCCCGTCAAACGAAAGTTGAGATTTGGTAGCTCCCATTGGCTGCCATATCTTGTGACAGAAATGGCGCACCATTTTCGAGATGGACGCAGATGGGGGAAGGGGATGGGGGAGGGTAGAGGCCTAGAAGTTAAAAATATTCTTTGAATAAACAGAAATAAAATACCACACTTTTACATTTTTATGTAAGAAAATGCTGCAATTTTATTTTAATGAAAGACACATCGGTTCGCTGACTTAAATCAGGGAGCGAATCTCAAGATATTGTGCCGTAATAAACACTTTCATCTCAACAAATGGATAGAAAATGATATAAATTATCTTAAAAATGCATTTAAGCTTCATGCCAGATAACGTTCCTTTTCCTCTTCCTCCAACACGCAGACATTCAAACCGACGGGCCCGTCACCGTCAAAAGTTGAACATTGCTGAACTTTCCAAAGCGACGGCCGTCAGGTCCGGCGCCGGCGCAGTCAGCTGTTGCCGGCCGTCAAACGCTGCCGGTTCACACATGCCCGTCGACCTGACGGCCGTCGCTCCGTCGGTTTCGGCCGTTTTGACGGTGTCGGGCCCGTCACCGGCAGACCTTACGGGCAAGTGTGAACTGCGTTTAAAAGAAACTGAAGACATAATGCAAATATTATTCACTAGGCCTGCAGAGTGCGACAGCAAGGTTGCCTGTCGTTGTGCATTAACTGCCAATTGAGAAACGATCTGATGAAGTGGAAAAGTGCACTCGTGTATAAAATGCTGGGAACTTCACGCTCCATCGCCAATGCCTTCCGCTGGTCAGTGTTCAATGGAGGAGAAAACAGCAAATGATGAAACTTCTGTCAGAGACAAGTTAACACTAATCCAACAAATTACGAAACATTCGTACCCAGAAGCGACGGGAGGTTCTTTGTGTGAGCCACAGAAAGATAACGATCAGTTAATGTGGACCGTAAATCGCGGCCGGCGTCTACGAGTGGCGACCGAGTACCGACAAAGACGGCAACTGGCCGGATTCAGCTCCTTCCCAAAACTGGGATCGACCACCAGCGATCAAATGATAACAATTTCGGCCGGCGCGTGGGCCTGCGCGCGGCCGAGGAAGGGCGGTTCCGGGGGCGGTGGCGCAGGCCAATACCGCTGCTCTAGAGGCTCCCAGAGAGGCTGGCAGGCTCCCCAGACACGCGACTGTATCAACAAAGACGGGCACGGCGGCATCTCCGCCTTCCCGGAACGACTCGGCAGCCGTCTCCTGGTAGCGGCAGCGGCGGCGGTGGTGGCCGGGCAGGCGGCGGCGGAGGCAGCGGGGGGCCGGACAGTGCGGCCAATTCCGATAATCCGCCGCCGCCGCCGCCGGACCAAGCCACCAGCACGCACCGCGCGGCGAAGGCCGGTCGGTGAGCCGCGCCGCGCCGGGCCGGTCCACTGGCAAAAATCGCCAGAACCCGTTCCGGCGGGTCCGGCCGGCCGGCTCGGCCCGGTGCTGCGCCGCGCCGCTCGGCCGCCGCGCTGTGGACGCTCGTTGGCATGCGGCGGCGGCGGCCGGTGTCCGCGACAGCGGGCGCCCGCCGACAGCCCCCATCAGTCAGCGAGCTGAGCTGCATGCTGACCAGGCGCGCGCGGCGCCGCGCCGCCGACCCACCGGCATTCACTGACCTGATGCTCCTGGGACTGCCGTGGTGATCCTCTCCTGGCTCCTCCGGTCTCCTGTCTCTCTCAGCTGTTCAGCTCCGATCACTGACGATTCGCGCTGTGCTCCGCGGTCCACTGTAGCGGCCCTACATCTCGCACGCACCCGGTTCGCAGATCGACCTCGCTCGCTCTGTGCTCCACACTGCACTGGCGCGGTCGCGGCGCAGCGGCGGCGGCGGCGGGACGGACGGCGCGCGGCGCAGCGGTAGCTGCCCCGGTTATCCCTCGCGTCGACTGCCGGACGCTACCTGGCCTGGCCAGCCGACAGGTAGCCCGGCAAACGAGCCGCCTATTGGTCCACAAATCACTAGCGGGCAGGCCGCTGGACAGACTCGGCGAGCGCGGCGGACAGTCTCGAAGTCGCTCCTCCCAGCGACGGGCGCCGGAGGCCACTGCGCCTCGCCGAGGCCAGCGTCGCCCTCCGTCACCTAGCGGCCGCCTGTGGAACTAGACTAGAGCGACCGTCACCAATGCAGTCTGCTCTACCGCGACCGTCGCCGTGCGGAGACTCCCCCCCCCCCCCCCCCCACTGAGTGAACTGCTGGCGACTCGCACTTTGTGTCATCATCCTTCACGCAAATAGCCAATCAAAAACCTCCCGCACATAACTTTATTTGCTCACAGACGCAGTTAAAATTGCCAGTTTGACATGTCTAGATATTCGGCATCCAACTTCAAGGAATAGAGGAAACTGGACACTCACGAATGATAAATTTCAGGCAAAACGTGTCAATGGGTAAACATGTCCATGATTTCCAATTTTTCGGCGACGCTTAACAGTTTATTTTCACCATCGCATCACGCGATTTTGTGATCCAGTTCACCGGTTGCAAGGTGATAGGTATGATGTCAGTTATTGTATAGAAGAGTGAAATGGATCGACCGATATTTTTTAAGACAAACCTGGCTAGTGGCTTAGCTGCTTACATCTAAATCGATATATTTTAATTCATGACACATACGAGTATATGCGCTTTTTCAACGCCGACCGGGTACGGACTAGGATGACGGGCTGAGACGAGAAACCGGCTGGGTGGGGCGAATGACAGTTGGGCTAGGACGAGGGACCGACGGACTGAGACCAGTGTCTCGGCGGTCGGGCGGTGAAGGTGCCCTGGGTTCTAATCTGAAACCAGCGGGTCCGGACCGCCAATCGAAGGTGGGCACTGGGCGGTATTGCGTGGGATATATGACACTCGGATAAACTCTAAAAACACACTCACACTCACATACAGTTCGCTGCTCCACTGCCACGTCAAAAGTTAGAGATTGATTGCTATAGATCAAACCGCTCGGACAACCAAAAATAACGGAGGAATGGACGAGCAAAGGAACGGGTAATTTGTATTTGTGGAAGGAGCCACCAATGTAACGGAAGATAGGTACTTGACGTTACACTTTTTTAAAGTAACGATAGCGTTATTCCGTTCTTTAGAACTGTAACGACGCTCCGGAGAGAAGGAATTGAGGAACTGTCGTGCCAACCTATGAAACTCAACATGCAGGTTGCAGGACGACCTCTCGCGGATTGAAGAAGACTGATTAGGGCTTATTTGAGCGCCTTTTCTTTCCCTGCTGCCGTGGAATACGTTCGATCTTCTATGTTGCACAATTATCCGTACAAATGATCGCTGAGATACCACGTTTATAAGCCAGCAATACACTGCTGCGCACGTAATTTCTGTTCGTAAATAATAATGTCTGGTAGCCGGGCGTAATCTTGTGCAATTATTACCGTGAGAGCCGCTGTCATAAATTCATTGACAACTGCTTCACAGCACGCTCAGCCCGTTCCGGAAATGGCTGAATAGCATGACATCCACCAATCTAATATAAGGCCGCTGACTAATTATGATACATGCAGCTTCTGGCCAAGTAATTGGTAATATACGTGAGAAGGCTGACATTTTGAACTGATGTAGTAGCCCAGCTCTCCCGTCATCGACTAAGGATTTAATGGCATGCATACATATAAAACGCATGGGAATAAAAGGCCTCTCTCTTATTTTCGTGAATGTAAGAACTGGCTACTTCCGAATGAAGGTAACGAATAAACGAATAAAGTGCCATCAATGATCGAGCTGTTTGCTAGATGAGATTCAATTTGCACACATTCCGTGATTCAATATAAGCGAAACTGGAAAACGACAAAATTTCGTCTATTTCGATTTTCGAACGCCGTTTGCGGGAGCCAAATGTCCCCAATGCCCGTTTTGGATTCGTTCGTGCACATGCATACAAATTTCAAAAACACATGCAAAAACTTGGCAAAAACAACACAGCTGAGTCTGGTCCCATGTAGGGCATCAGCCAAACTCCCTGGCTGTGAGTCAGGACTAACGACTAGATATCGGCACGCTGTTGACCGCAGAGTTCGCTCGGGGTGGTGACGGCGGGCACTGCGCCGTCTTCGACGACTTGCCGGATTATCCTGCGGTAGCGTGGTTGTCGCCAGCCTAATTTGCTGCAGATTTATTGTCTGCAGACTGTGTACCTACGGAGTCGCAGTGCAGGTTTTCTCTTGTCGCACACTTTCAGAAGGAAGGCTTAGCGCGGACATCTGCTGCAGCCACCAGCCGGCTGGTCAGACACCATCGCTGCAGCATGTTTTTTGCCTCGGCCGAACGTTGCAATGCAGATTCTGGTGGGGGAATGTCCGTTCATGCATCTGTGCATCGTGCTATCGTTCCATGATCTCGGTGAACCGAGTGGTTCAGCGGTGGACGGTGGTCAGGTCGCGGTGGACGAGACGCGTTCCAGCTACCTGCAACCCGTGGGCTCCCCCGTTCTTGATATGGGGGAACCGTTAAAAAAGGATTTAATGGTTTACTTCTCAGAGAAGTTAAAGCAGTAGTTATGCAATGACGTGACTACTGGCCATTCATTAATATTTGACTTAATCCGTCGATCAGAACAACGACAATAAATCAACGCAACATGTATCGTGAATCAGTTTCTTTACCAAAATGGCAATCGGCAGTAGGCCAGCATGCTTTGATCCACCGCTGATCCAATCTTGTTACCCCTTTCTACCAGAAACGGACTACGTCATGGATATGTACGGATTCACTGGCTTCATAAGGTGTCGTTTGTTGCATTTTTTTTCTAGAGATGGCCAAGTCAATCTCATGTGGTTTCGGCTCTGTAGATAATAAAATTTACCCCTCCTGGAAAAGCTTCTAACTGTAGTCTGTAGTGCATTCAAATCCGACCGATTAATTCAGCTCGGTATGTCCCGTGTCGAGTTCCTCGCGTGGTCTATAACGCAATGCTGCAAGCCTCATTCCTTTAGTTCCAGTTCTCCACCTTCGTCCTCGCCTCAACTCAACACACTGCTGGTATTGTTTGCCGAACACAAGCATCAGATCAAGTCCCTCTCCAAAGCCCAGTCCGGATTTCGTAGTCTCCCCAGCATCAATCCCTCTCTAGCCCGGACCCAGTGCCTGTTCCAGTCCAGCCCCACTCCATCTTCCAAATCCTTTTCCAGTCCCTCTCCCAGACCAGTTCCTCGCTCAGTCCCTCTCCAGTCCATTCCTAGCAATCTTCCAGTCCAGCCGCAGCCGCTATCCTGCAGTCCAAAGCCATCCCTCTCCAGCTCAGCCCCAGTCCCTCTCCTGCAGACCCATGGGTCTCAGTGTCTCTCCCAGTCCCTCCCAGTCCAGTCACAGTCTCTCTCCTAGTCCAGCCCCAGTCCATCTCCCAGTGACAAGTCCCTCCTCCAGCATCAGCCCAGTCCACCTCCCAATTAACAGAATACAGGCCCAGTCCTCCCACCCAGTCCCTCTCGCAGCCCAGCCCGGTTCCGCTCCCGGGTCATCACATGGCCGTCGGCGCCGCGTGGCGTGTGACCGCGCCGTTTGCGTGTTAAAGCTCTGTTCATACCAACCGCCCGGCGCCGGACGGGGGTCGGCTACCGACGCCGGCCCCGGTTCGTCAGCACCGCCAATTTCGGCGGGGCGTTCTCACAGTGGTCGGAATCGTGCACGGGGTGCGGCGCTTCCGTCGCGCGGGGCGCCCCTGTGGCTACCACACCGGCACCGCACGGTGTATCAACCGACCGCGGATGGGAAACATCGACCGACCTCGGCTCGGGCAGCTGTGGGAGCTGTGCTGCATGACGTCTTTATGGTACCGCTGTAACGTGCAAAGTGGTAGGTTGGCGGCAGTTTCCCCAATGACGGGCAGGGATATGACAGGAATAAACGTATATTCTCACATGCTAGCGTTATATAAAGTGCAGATAGCTCAAGAGCGATAAAGAAACCGCACCATGCAAGCAACTTATTCTATTTTCGACTTCCATGTTACGGCGCTCTGAGAGAGTTAAGGCAGAATACAAATTTGGTAAATTTATCCATCGCATATTCACTCGTCGTATCCAGTCTCTCGACAAGAAATGGATCAGGAACTAAAACACAGGAAAACACGATTCAGGAACATAACATGAGAAAAAGCAGAAAGCTGGAGCCAGGTGAACCTCGGCTGCTCTTTTTAGCAGTTGGCTCGCCTACCACAACCGTCGTGAACCGGGATAGGTTCCTCACCAGCCGTCACATAGAGAAACGTTTTAATTAGTTCGATTTATGCTAATCCTCGGCGCCGCGCCGCTTGGTGCCCTTCTCCGCGCGGCCGAGGGACGTTCCCACAGGTCCGCTGACCTGGTGCTCCGGGTGTACCGGTTGGCGGTAAACGCCACGGATTTAGCTACGTTCGCGAGGAATCGATTACGCCGAGATAGGCGGATTAACGTGCCAGGGAAGCATAAATTAACCGCGCAGTCTGGCCGACCGACTGAAACGTGACAAACCACCATGAGATGTTCCCACGGGAGCCAGGTATAATGCAGCAGCAGCTCGAAATAAACAGTTATGGAGATATTCACTTCATGCGCCATTATAATCATGCTACCGGAAGCCCGCATGACGCAATAAAGACGCTCGGGTGAGTCTTCTTCTGTTGAGCTTCATAAGATCTACATATGCATGAACTTGTACAGACATTAGCGTGGCTGGTTCAGATGCAATCTTCCCAAACGCTTACCTAACCATTACCAGGTTTCAATTGCGCTGCTGTTGCGACAAAAAACGCAGCTTTTGTGCTTGTCACTTGTCAACGCAGCGCAAAAGTGCGCCATTATCGGTTGTCCAGTCGCCTTTTATCGACTGGCGGTGCCAGTTTCCCACGGCGGGCCACGGCACGGACGGGCGGCTCCTTTGACAGCCGTACCGTTTCCGTGACATGTCCGTGTTGGCGCCATGCCGTGCCCGAGTATGTCCGTGCCGCGTCCGTGCCTGTTCGTGCCGTGTCCGTGACGGCGCTGTGCCGTGTCCGCGTCCACTGCCCGTGCCCGTGCCCGTATCGGCGCAGTGTTTGTGTCCGCGCTGTGTGTCGGCGCCGTTCCATGTTATGCACGAGCCGTGCTGTAACCGTGCCCGTGCCAGTCAGTGCCGTGTCCGAGCCGGCGCCGTGTTGTGTGTGTCCGTGTCCGTGCCGTGTCTGTGTTCGTGTCTTCTCCCTGTCGTGTCCGTGTCCGTGTCGGGCCGTGCCGGTCCGGTCACAGCGGCTACGTGCATATAGGCCGACACCTCACCACCGGCGGCCGCCCCGCGCTATCCACCATGACCAGTCAGCGCATACCTACCCGTACATTGGTGCAATGGAGGCATATAATGGAGGCACCAAGATATTGGTGCAATAAAAGGAGGGCATATGATGAGTAGGTAGGTATGTACAGTTTCGCGGAGTTCACATTGTCAGCTGCTTATCTTATCTAAAGCGTCTGCCAATTTTCCCAGTGACTTAAAAAAACGAAATTTTAATGGGGATGTGACTGGCGTCCACTTACGAAGAAATAGGTATAGCACCTGGTGCGTTTACATGGAGGTGCGACATTTCATCTTGTAAGAAGCATGCGCATGCCCACTGGCCACGCCTATTACCGGCTATAATCCGTTACGGAGTTCGACTGCCCGCCCAAGTAAGGTTGCATCGCGTGCTGCTCGCATTTTACTTACAGTAACGGAAGGCCTGATTTATTGCCACTGCCAAAAGGAACGCGGTCCTTGAGCGATGACAGCAACAATGCCAACAACGCCAGCAATAACAACAGCAAAAAGAACTAGACGATGCCTACCTAGGCTATCAATCGGATCAGCTGTAGGCTGTTGGCAAGTAAACACTTCCTTTCTCTACATACTTTCCAACAATCAAATGTATTATTTAAACTGTCTTATATGATATATCCTTGTCTCGTATAGGCAGACTTCCACGATGCACAATTATTCATCAATCTGTTGAATGTGGTTGGGCGCTAAAGGCAGATTTATTTTGTTACTCCCTCGGCCAGCCGAAGGTGCGCTTCCCGTCCCCGCTCTATCCCCTGCTCAGAGACACGGACCTCCTTCCGCTGATATCCTCCGCAGCGCCGACCTCCCCTCACAGATGTCCGCCGCTCCACCGACCTCTCGGCGGCATTCTGACTACGATGTGCGCCGAAGCGAGACGGCGCTACTGCCGTTCCGGCAAGGCAGGTAGCCGGCCGCGCCGTCCCCGGTGTCGGACTGCGAGTGATGGCCTTCTGCCGTGTCCGGACTGGCGGCGCGCTGATTGATTTACTCTGACGTCTGGCATGTCCGCTGACAGGCAGACGGGGGCCGCCGACGTCGCCACCGCGCGCCGCTGTCCGAGGGCGGTGACGGGACCCAGAGGGCCAGGGAGGTGGGGAATAACACAGGAATGGATGCAAGGGACCCGAGGGCTATACATGGGAGGTGGACCAGCTGAGGCGCACATACTCGGAAGACATACTCGGGTATGCCGACACGCTTTATGAGATTTATTTTCATCATTAAGCGTCCAAGGGCACCAAGGATCCAAGCGCCATGCATAAATGGCGCGCACCCATTTACGTATGGGAGCGTTTATAAGCGATTCAAGTTAAGTCGTAATCGATACCTAATGCTCTCACGTAGGGACTGAAGAATTTGCCCTTTCTTTGCATTATCTGAACTTATCCTTTTGGAAGATCAAGCTCCCATGATAAAAACGAGATGGGAGCGCGCTATAACGCCTGTAAAATCTAACTTTTTAGCTTTTTGTGTGTAATCGCACTACTTTCCCGCATATTTGCCCAGCATGCCTCGAATTTAGGAGAAAGGTATTGAAGCCTGAAGGTTTGATAGCGGTATGAGGTATTGCCATGTTTCAATAGGCATCAATTGATTATCCAAAATATTTAATTTACTTATCGAAATAAAATAATTCGAACCAGTTTAGCTTTGCGTCTAACCTCGACGCTTGTCAAAACTCATATGGATTCTTTTAATTCGACGAAAATACTTTCTGGTTTAATGAACTCAACTAAAAATGGTACGCTAACATGAGTAACAACAGCCAGCCAACCGTTCCCAATTAATATATTATACCTCGAAAGGGACCAAGATCGACAGATACGGTCTTACAGCCACAAAAAAAAACATCATTGACAAGAACAATTCGGCACACATCCATCAAAACGGCTCAATATCGGGTGATTCATAAAAGACTCACACATCAATAACTCTATCCTTGTCACCGGCAGCATGGATATTCACTTATTCATTCATCTGTTCTTTTCTTGTCCACAATGCGGTCTTGGGCTACTACCCACACACTAGAGGTGGCAAAATATGAAAATTTTGGGAACCAGACTCGAACCAGACCCGGCTGGATATTTCTGGAACCAGTCGGACCCGGTGCTAGTTGGAACCAGAACCAGTTGGACCCGTTCCCCAAAAGTCAATTAATCCAATCTACTTGTAGGAATCATTAGTTGCATCATGTAAAACAGCCTATTTCCCACTGGGAACGCTCATGAACTACTGTGTGCAAGGAAACATTCACTTCATTCGCTTCATATTTTGCAATAATGTGTAGTGTGTAAGATGTATAGTTTATGGTAGGACCCGGTTGGACCCGTCAGAAAATTTCCAGGAACCGGTTTGGACCCATACGGGTCCAGACAGGTTCTTTGGACCGGGTCCTCGGGTCCACATTTTGCCACCTCTACCACACACCATGTCAAAGTAACTAGGTGGCACCACCATTGCTGGAACAGATGTCGCCCCATGCGTATTTTTTCCACTCATCCCACACCGCACACACCACTCTCTAACTCAGCTGACGGGTGCCGAATCATCTGGCTCAAAGTCAATCTGCTCCGGCGTCACCTCTATCAATTTGTCCACGCCAAGCACCCGCACTGGTGGCCTCACGCCCGTGATCACGCCAGTCGCCACGGTGACTCCGTTCTCGCGGAGTGTGAAATGGTGACCGCGCCTCGCCAGCATCTGCCGCGGCAGCAGCAGACTGACCCGGCCGGCGTCTCCGGGCAGCATCATCTCCGTCCCGGGAGGTAGCATCACCCGGCAGCCGACCGTCCACGTCTCGCAGAACAGCTGCTGTACGTAGCTGGACGTGATGGGTTTGCTACGGCCGCCCTCGCTGCGCTCCAGGAGGTAGAGTCGAGCCCACAGCACGTTAGACGTGTCGAACGCCCCGGGAGGCGTCAGAGACATACCACGCTTCACTGCAGACACGGGGACTCCCCGCAGGAGTACACCTGCGTGCTCGCCGGCTTCGATCTGCGGCACCGACTTCTTGAACACCTGGATATCGGTGGCGACCGTCTTGATGCGAGTGTCGAAACCGACCAGCTCGGCGTCCACGCGTCGCTTCAGGACGCCCTGTTTGAGCGTGCCGACCACCACAGTGCCGCGGCCGGGCACGGTGAACCCACTCTCGACGGGCATAAGGAACGGCGCGGCTCGGTCTCGCTCCGGTATAGGCACGTGCTCGTCCAGGGCCTCCACCAGCCGCCAAATGGAGGGTTCGCCGAGCTCCCCGTCACCGCCGTTCAGCGCCTGCAGCGCCGAGCCGATCACAAACGGCGTGGTTGAGCCGTCAAACCCGAAATTATCGAGCAGCTCGCGCATCTCAAGCTCGACCAGCTCCAGCACCTCCTCGTCCACCAGATCCGCTTTGTTGACAAACACGACGATCTTGTCAACACCGATCTGCCGCGCCAGCAGAAGATGTTCGCGTGTCTGCGGCATCTGACCATCGTTGGCAGCCACCACAAGGATGGCGCCATCCATCTGAGACGTGCCACAGATCATGTTTTTCACATAGTCGGCGTGTCCGGGGCAGTCTGTGTGCGCGTAGTGGCGGCGTCCGCTGCTGTACTGCACGTGTGCCGCGTTGATGGTGACACCCCGCCGTCGCTCCTCCGGCGCGCGGTCGATCTGGTCGAACGGCACGTACTCACTCTGCTGGTGCGCGCCCAGCACACGTGTAATGGCCGCTGTCAGCGTCGTCTTGCCGTGGTCTACGTGACCGATGGTGCCCACGTTCACGTGGGGAAGCTCTGGAAAAAGTGGGGTGTTGTCAGAAAAAGCCCGAACTTCAAATATTTTGGATACACACAAAAAGTGTTGAGATGACAACATTATGACAAAGTCTTCTGAATTCTTAACAAAGATCTGTATCTTATTTTAGAACAATTATATTTTCTGCATGCTTGAGTAAACAAATAGCAAATGCAAGGTTATCTTTTGATCTAAAAAATATGAAGCAACCATGTAGGAGGTAAATCGGACATTTACTCAAGGCTTGTACCAAAACAAAGTCACAGTTTCAGGCTCACTTAAAGGGACCCTCCCACCTTAACATTAGTTTTGAGTTGAGATAGCCAAGTTTGCGGCCAGGCTCAGAAACCACCATTTATCCTGGTCGCAACCCCCGCAGCTTTATGGTGTTCAAGAAATTTCTTCCCTTTACTTGCAGGGTGGGACCAGCGTGGTCCCTATCTCTTAACCATTACGGGAATCTGATGACGTCATCAGGCTTTCGAACGTCCGTTAAATGTTTGACTAAAACGTTTTGTAGCACGCGGTGGTATATGCTGCTTTGCGCGCAACAAATGCCGCACTTTCAAATAAAGTCGCTAGGAACAGCGGAGATCCCAAAAAGTAAACAAAGGAAAAAGTCTAATATCTTAAAAACCGGTGAATATTTTTGGATGAAATTTGGTAGATATTCGTTTTTGCTCTTTTTGAACCGAGCGACATCACTTTCATGCCAATTCATTAACTTTTTTGAAGGTGGGAGGGTCCCTTTAAGCCCTGCCTATAAAATATAACAACACATATGCATTGTTAGCAAATGTGATAAGTCCTCGCTTTCACCAGCAGCTTCCATTCAGCAGAAACGCACCTGATTTGGACTCATCTGCTGGTCCTCCAGACTTCTGAGGAATTTTAGAATTGGTAGTCTTCCACCTTCTCCATGACCAATTGGTATAAGAACCATATTTAGCTAGCAAATTTGACTGGCTTGATCCAGCACATGACAACAGTCTGAGGGCCCTGTGCTGAAGGTGAAGCTGAACAGCTGCCATGAGACAGCGGCTCAAACTAGCAGACATTATGCAGACCTTGTTCCGAGGATCCAGAGCCAGGTAAGATATGGTCAGAGATCGGACAAAAAGACCATCAGGCCAATGCCTGAAAAACTTATGTAGGACCTGAAAAGAACAGCATAGGTATCAGCCTGAGCTAGTTCAAACACAAACTAAATAAATTATATGGTATAATTTGGAATGCTCAATTAATGTTAACAAGATTTGCACTAGATACAAACAATCGCATTACACTAAACAGGAAATGCACTTTTTGAGGAAAAGACAATGAAACCAATATGGCGAGTTCCTTAGATGCATTTTTAATGTTTAAAGGTCAAAATAAGACTGATTACATACCTATTTATCCCACATGTATCACGTTGTTGTTGTTCTGGGTTAGGGCGCGTAGCAGCTTGGCTCTTGCGTCCAACACATGTATCACTTTGACTTCAAAACAAGCAATCTAATCAAGCATTGGCCAAAAGCATATTGGCTTCGGTAGGTGTCACAATTGTCAAATACGCGCAGAGTTACGCATCTTTCTTTGCTACCATATTCTACCATATCCAAAAAAGTACTCCCGGTTACAATTACTCAAAGTACGGTATCTTGCCAATCGCTCAGCGCTTTTGCAAGCTCCAACCGTTCCAAATTCCAATGTTTTTAGTTCAGCGTTTGTTGATTCAGGAACATCTCGTGAGTCGTGGAGTCCCGTAACCTAGTTTTGTGCGTTCCGTTGCTTAGTTTGTCGGTTGACACTTGACAGTAATGACTTGATTGCAAGAGGTCAGGAAACTGAGAGTCCGGATCCGAGTCGCTTCGCTGCTCGATAGACGATAAGTATGAGACTTCTGAAGGTTGGGTGACGAATGGCGGGGACGGTGCAAAGCTGGTGAGCATCCGCAGGTAGTTCAGCGGGAAGGAGTGACAGTGGTGTCCGGCTTTGACGGGTATAAGTTTGACATCCGAATTCTATCGCTTACCAAAACCACCCGATCGAACGGGATATTTGGGCCTACGGTAAGCAGCAAGCTCTATTTAGCGTGGGACCCAACTAGAGCAAATCGGACGTGCAAAAATTCAAGCCATATCTATAAAAAGAGGTCAGGGATTCGATATCTGCTGTTCTACATCCTACGTCCTAAGGCTTACGGGCGCAGAATAAAACCATTAACTTAACATGTTTATTGCATGCACAGGTGATTTTTAACCAGTTTGAGAACAGGAATGCATGGCTTATCAAATCGCTACTTACGCTAGTATAAACGGACTAGAGTCGCCGTCGCGGTTCACTTGGAAGACTACGAAAGCAAAAATAACAACAAGCACATTACCAAACACCAATCACCAACACTTGAATGCAGCCTTGTTCATAACAATGAAAGGCACGATGACACTGAAAGGGCGGGGCAGCCCGTCGCTGCCTTCTCTTCATTCTCAAAATATTTCATTATCGGTCACAACTCACAGTAAATATGGATGAAATGGAACCTGGGGCGCCAGCGTCCCGAATTCCTCAACTTGCAGTAGTCGATCTTGATGTCATGATCTAGGTGACGATGCATAGATGACGATTCATATCACAGTCATGGAGCTAGCTAATCTACACTGTGCTCAGTTGGTCGGAGAGAACCAGTGAGCACCGGAAGACTGCACCGTTCCGGGCTTCGTCACTGGTGCAGGTATTCGTCCACGCACTTCATGTTCTCTGGAAATGAGAAGCAAAATGTGTTTGTACTTGTTTGTGCTGCAGTTTGAAAATGTCGCGACTCGCGATAGCTTCAACAACGCCGGAGATATATTGGATACAGATAACATAGAAGTCTATAAGCAATCATGTTAATTACAGCCAAAAACATTACACATGAGAAAGCGATGACATTCAAAGGCAGTAGGTACATACTACATACTGAGTCCTAAAATATTTACGATTTTCTCATTCACCCACCTTGCACTTGCTCGACGATCTCCTGAACATACGCCGGGGTGTTGTGGTCCTTCCTGAGGCCCGCACTGAGCTCCAGGTCAAAGCTGGGGCCGTAGCGCATGAAAAACTGAAAACGGTAAAAAAAAAACGTCAGAATAGTTGTAACCGAAGAGTAGGATTAGCTCAATCTTTTAGAGCATATGAAACAATCCAGATTTAATGAATGTGATTAATGGTCGATTTGATAAAACAAATCAGTCATCGGGAGGGAGCATCCAGAAATTTTGTTAGATGAGCTTCAACCAAACTATATTTATTTATACTGCTAAACAGTACTATAACCGACGGTCAAGCACAACATCATCATCAAGATGACCTGATGCCGCTTTTGTTGAAGGCACCTGCACTGTATTATGCATCGGAACTGCGTGCAGGCCTTAGCCCAGCAGTTGTGCACACATGCCGCAATCAATAATTGATCGCCCAGAACAACAAGTAAGCCAGGCAAACACCCCCCCCCCCCCCTCCTGCTGGATAACCATTAGTATACCCCTATGCCTGCTCACCGGATGGTCGGGTATGTCTGGCGTCAGCCGCCGGCCGAGCACCAGCGCGGTCAGCTGGGCCCAGCAGCGCGCCACGTTAGCCGCGCTGTACCCGCCGCCGCCCAGCAGCAGGGTGGGCCGTCCGGCGGCCAGCACGCGGCGCACGCAGCGCGCCAGACCGGCCGGCGTCAGGCTGAACGTGCCCAGAGGGTCTCCGGCCAGCCCGTCAGCGCCGCACTGACACACCACGGCGTCCGGACGGAACGCGGCCAGCACCGGCGAGATGGTGCTGAAGAGGGGGAGTCAGGGGGCGTGTTAGGTGTGTGGTGGGAGGCACTTACGGCCGGAGAGTAGCCGGAACAAGGCTCGAAACTCGAAAGCGTTCAGTGAACAACAGAAATTGGGTGCGGTTAGACACAAGTTCAAAGTGAGTAATACTGCGACATTGTTTCAACATCATAATGCGTAAAACATCACGTTTCAATTCACAAGCTAATATAATAGACGAATGTTGTTCCTTCTTCCCTGCAACGCACCTGTCAAACGCCTTAAAGAAAGTGTCGTCGTTGGCGCCCTCTTTCAGCGGAACATTGCAGCAAAAGTACCGTCCACGGCCGCAGCCCACGTCGTCGATGCTCCCTGGAATAAAATGGTTAATCCATAACGACGGCAAAACTGGACGAACACCCGTATTAAAAAATTTCCTTTCTCCATGTAGCCAACATAAGGGATTATCCGTTTTGTGCCAAAAAACTAACGAGTAAACGTGCAACAGAACGTTAAACAGACTGGTAAAAGCCTGCTACAGTGCTACATACACAAAGTACGAAGTGGCGCTGTTTCACATACCTGTTCCAGGGAAGTATCCATCTTCATAATGATGGATGGAGTAGGTGAACACCTTGGACGAGTACAGGAAAGCGTTTTCAACCCCGTCACCTGTGAAAGATACGATCGATACGTTCGTTAACTCATAAGGACATCGCATATTTGTGCTTGGTACAAACAAGTATAAATCCCAAACATCAGGCACCTATTTCCGTAACGGAAGATAGCCGATCAAACGGATGCCGAAACCGAATCGTCAAAAGAAGTAACCAATGTACGGAACACAAGTGCGTTTATCGTTCTGGGGACGTTTGGCATGCCCCTGGCCCATGATTCACACAGCCTTTCCATTTTACAAAAGATTGTCTAACACCAAGATGATGTAAATTATGATAAGCACGCACAGGCTGCAATGCTCAAATGTAAATATAGCTCCCCAATTCCAGATCTGCAACGTACCGTAACGTATGTTCAAATCAAAGTGCTGCGTCCCGGTATGCTACGCACCGTGGTGGATGTCGAGGTCGACGTAGAGCACGCGGTCGAAGGTGGAGCGCAGCTCTCCGATGGCCAGCACGGCGTCATTCACATAGCAGAACCCGCTGGCGCCGTCCCTGAAACAGCCGCAACCAAAATACATGGGACACGTCATTTATGTCATTAGTAGACAAGTGCTTCACATAAAATAATATATACGAACCCGAGTAGAAATCTTATTATAATTTGTAAAAAAAGCAGTGGCAGTCAGCGAATGAATGCGTGCCGACCTTCAACACCCCAAAAGGAATAACTTCCCTCGAACGAAAGTTATTTCACTCAACGCTCATGGACAGACACAGCCTCGTCGAAACCATACAAATCCAGTACAAGATAAAGTCACAAAACCAATATTCTGCAGAGCGGTAGTGTCAACAGCAGAACGTGCTGCGCTGTGCCGACTCACCTCTGCGCATGGTGCCAGCCGCCGCACCAGTTGATGGCCACGTCGAAGCGCCGCTCGCAAAGGGCGCGCGCAGCGCTCAGCGAGGCGCCGGCCACGGTCCGTGCCAGGTCCAGGATGCCGGACACCAGCGGACAGTCGAACCCTGCGGCAGGATGTTGGTTATCTTGGTGGCAGGCGGTCACCTAGTCACAGGGTGTATACTATGCAGGGACTGGATGTCTGCATGGATCAGCGGCGAAAAGGATAATGGAGAATGAAATAGTGAAGGAATAATGTACGAAAACGACGAGATTGAGAATGTTAAAATATATTCGTGACAGGAATCATTAAATTTCTTGTAAAGGTGGCGACTGATTGTGAACTATGATCTACATATACAGCGCTTCGCTGCCAGATGTATGGAATGGCTGTAAGCAGCTGTGCACACCCCGACTCCATATCGGTTGGATCTGTGTTCAGTGTCTAGTGTTTACCATGGAAGCGCATCAAGGATCACGTGAATATTTGTCCGAAGCAATTATCGACCTAATAAAGCAGCACGACCATCTACCTGAAGCGAACAAGCCTTTCTCCTTTCGTATAAAATATTACTGCTAAACAGGCGCAAGCGAAAATCGTCGAGTCGCCCGGACCCATAGCCGCCCATACAACCATTCGTACAGAATGTGGCAGATCAGACCCATCCCGGCTCTGCCCGCCACTCACCAAGCCCGTACTCGTCGAGCTGGTCGTCGCTGTGTTTCTCGAGGTCCTTGCTGCCATTGACCGATTCCAGGTAGTCAACGTAGTCGCCCGAGTGGAAGTTCTGCAGGTCGTCCACGTCCGCCAGTCGCGGCTCGATCACAGTCATCAGCTCAGTGAGCCGGTACGCGCACAGCAGCTGGTGCACCATGGACGCCTAAAGGAATCAGATGTGTGTCAGAAAGGTGTCTGTTTGCTTCATATCTAGCTCAGCAGCGCAGGGTATTTAACTCCCATACATAAGTGAGACTAAAGTGGTTTAAATGACTCTGACGCTCGCGAAAGGGCGCAATGTGAGACCCCAGATGTCAATGGTGTGGAATTCTCGATCTGGTTGGTGGCCGGTGGGTAATGCTTAAGCCATTTGATACTTATGAAAGTTTGCATAGAGTTTATATGAGGACATGAACTTCCCTCTTATGTTCACAACTACTTCCCAATTACACAGTAAAATTGGGGGATTGTGTAACAAACTATTTTAAATCTAAAAAAACTACCGATATTTTGTACTGCGTCATGTCAAAATGTTCTGGTTTTGCTAATATTATTCAAGAAGGCACTCAACTATATCTCCTGAAAAAAAATGATAGAAAAATAAAAAAGTTTCAGATAACTGGCATGCATCAAAAGATATGAAAAATGGGAGTGAAACATTACAAACATATTGGTCATACCCCTGAGAGTCTAAACAAAATCACAAGCAGGTAAAAAAAAGGGAAATAAGATGGGATAAAGCAACAAGCGATAAATTAGCAAACTGGTTATAATGAAGAGCTCACCCTTAGTTGCATGTTTTGAATCCTGTCAGCCTGACACAGCAGCTCCTTGCTGATGACATAGCCCACACAGAGCTTTGATACCTCACTTGTCATGATGAGCTGTAAAAGAAAAGATAATAAAATCGAATCAAAATATAAAATTCTTAATGAGTATAAAAAGAAAATAATAATAAGAGGATGTTAGGATTGCAAAAACAAACTTAAATATTTTGCATGTGAAATTTGGTTTGAACTACAAAATCCAACCGAATTGTGCTCAAGAAGACTGTGGAAGAGGAACCCTGTTTGATGATAAAGTCAAATTAAATGAGTAAGCTATAATTATTACCTGTTATCTGATCATAATGATTATTGTGAGAAAGTAAAAAGTAGGTATGACTTAACAAAAGGTAGGTACTAAAACAATATGAAGGGCCAAGGGCACCCATGACCCAAAACAATGTAATTAGTAAATGTTAACAGTTAAATGCATAGCTATTAGCTTCTATCGCCCACCCAACTACCCAGCTTGCCACTTGCCATCCAGTGCTAAGACATGCTTATACTGATCCATACTAAAAACATCCTTTCAGATTGTGTTATTAACAATGTGGCAATAAAAACTTAAATTTTCATTAGTTTAGCACCTTAAATCACTAGCTGATCCAGGGGGCTTTAGTCTACCAATTATATTATATGATGCCACTCTTCCACGCTAGACCCGCTTCTGGCAATGTCTTGAGCTGCCTCTGCGAACTTCTCCACACTGCAGCAACTTGAGGCTCTAGCAGCTTTATCCATGCCACAGCTTGAGCTGACACTTGACAGCATATGCCTGCCAACTTGTGTGACATCTGCCATATCAATTACCAATATCCTTATTTGCAGTGAGAACCCAATATTTAAAAATTGCTTCCCTCATACCTATAGAAAGAAAACTAAGCAATTTCTCTCAGTAAGTTCATTTTAATCTGAACAAAGACAAAAAGCAAACCATGAGATTTTGGAAATCAGAAAAAACTTTTTGAAGATTATCCCTACTGCATCTTGATTGATCTTACACCATGTTTCTCATACATATGGTGTTAATAAATAAGTTCTGAATTAAAGTAGATAGCAACCAATCAGAATAGTGTAGGTACAAGCATTGTTATTGTGCAAGTGTTTCTACATAACAGGTAGAGCAATTCATCTACAGGGTGATTTTTTTTACTTGTTAAAAAGTAATGAGGTTTAGTGGCGTTAAAATGCAAATATATATGGTGAAATTATATACCAGCATGACGAGCATTCTGGGACATTTTGATTTCATGCAGACACGCTGTGAAGGAACGTCCATCGTGTATTTTACTTGTGCTTGAAGCTACCCCCTCTCTCACCGACACGAATCAGCCCGCCTGAGCACGTGTTGAACAGTACCATGGACTCCCATGCTCATTAGGCGGACTGAAAAGGCTCCTATCACCCATTTTCAGCTCTGCCAGATATTTCCAATGTTTTCTTGTTATATCTGCCATACCTGGGTCCAAAAACTAGAAGTCTAGAAAAGGCAGGTCGAGGATTTTGCTACTGGCGGCCCTGGTGGTGTCTGATTCGCTGTTTTTTGTTTCTCCCTGAAGACTGATTCTTCAGAGGTTGCACATACGCCAGATGGACCGTTTGAAGGTCATTTATGACTACAAGCTTGTTCCTGCATTATTTAACGTCTTTCTGAGGTATCTCCTTGATGATCGTAATTTGTATGCTTCGAACTGCCTCGATGCTTCAAAATCATCGTTTTGTGTCGTTCCTTGCTCAACGGCGGTGGACCAGGCGTGCCCGATTGGTGGGACATTTTCAGGCTCCATTGGGGCCGAGGCCTTCGGTTAAAAGGGACAAATCATGACACCATACAAAATGTCCCAGATTTATCTATCACGTGCATTGCTTTTTTGCACAAGATTTTTCGATTTAGGGACCACCATTGACGTTTACTTTTTAACAGTTAAAAAAAAAATCACCCTGTAAATGCATCTTGGTAAAAAATAAATGCATCTGAAAGACTCAAACATGATGAAATGGAAACCTTCAGTTTCAGGCTTCAGTCCTGGGTGGCCGTTCGCGGGAGGTGGCTGCGGGGCATGCACTTGCAGCAGTAACTGTCCCTGAATTACCAGAAAAATAAACAATACAAGTTCTAAAATGTACAGCTTAATACAGAAACTAGACTTTTATCCTACAAAAACTTGAAATAATATCATCTTAAGCCTAAAGGTGCTACAATTTGTGTTGCGGTCTCAAAATATGTGCTCTATTTACCTCTCCCAGTCCCAAACGTCCAACCCAATCCCGGACCTAATCTTCTTAATACCGTAAATAGGATAGGTACCTATGGCAGCACTGGCCGGAGTCACCGGCAATAATATCAACAGCAATATGTTCATTATCGTCTAGCTCATCTTGACAAATGAGTTAAATGACGTGGATGAATATGAATGTTGCCTGAATGAATGAATAAGTGAATGTGGAATAGTTCTGAATTAGAATGTTAACAAATGCTGTGAATGTGCATTCACGGAATTTTGATTTGGTAGGATAAAGGATTCAGATTGGGTCCTTGGGCCCTTGATTGAGCCCCTGAATCTAATCCTCCTTCACCTTGGAGAGTTACGATGACAAGACAATGAAGCTTAGCAAGATTCCTGACGGAGAATCAGCACTGCTTGAACTTGTATTTTGTACGCCAGGGTTTCTTTCAGCTGAAACCAAGGGAACCCCAAACAGGTGAGTTGAACAGGTGAGTTGAAATGAATATAAAAAAAATGTACGATGAAAACTTTTGTTTTTAGGGCCTACTGGGACAATAACTAAAAATACTCGCCAACGCTCCCTAATCTATCACAAAATTTTCAAACAATCCGCCGCGAGCGCCGCGACAATCACGCGCGCTACTTTTGCCGAGAAACAAGTTAGCACAATTACGAGAACTTTGAAGACCATTTTAGTACTAATATGACGTCATAAATTTTGTTTTGATCCATAATCAAACCAATTATATTTGAATTATTCTCCATTATGCCTATGATCCTATCTACCTTCACTAAAGTCTAAATGGGCACCTAATGATCCATTTGGTTAGCTTTTAAAAAATGTAACTTTGATTCCGTAAAACAGCTTATAAATGTTCCCAAGGTCAATGTCATGACCTTGACCTTGACCTTGGAAGGTCTTGGATTAGGGTGAGACTAAATGCTTACTTCGAAATCTAAGCTGCGTTGCGGCATTGGCGGTTATGTGCGGCGTGTATGCCGCATGATTAGTAAGCGGCGACCACTAAATTAAAAACTCAATAGCTTTGACCTGTTTTCAATGGATAACACTGCATACCAAAAATGTCCATCGCTCTCGTCATAGGATATTTAGATTTAAATAACTAACTTATCTACATCATTGTTTTGAACCAAATTAATACTCAGCCGCGAACGTATAAGGTATAAGCCCTTGCCGTTTCGCTCCTGATCAAGCTAGAGCTTCGCGGAAAAAACGGGCGTGTTGCCCGTGACGAGAGAAAGCCGATGATACCCAATTTTAAGGTCCTAGGTCATCGGTTGACCTTCCAGGTCAGGTCAATGACCCAAAAGGCGGGAAAATTGGGACCTGTTAGAACGTCGTAGTGTGGCCGCTATGGGGTTTTTCGGGGTGCTGATCACGAATATCATGCTAGTTTTGATCACAGATGATGTCTTCATTCATTTAGGCCAGGTCGGGTTAGGTCAGGTCAGGTCAACCAGTAGAGGTCCTGCCAGGTATTTGTAGTAGGTGTCAACCGCCTCTGACAGCCTCGTAACATGTTACGAAGGCACCAAAACTACTTTGTAAACGTTCATGTGGTTGCTTAATTCGAATTCAGCTCGAAAAAACTGGCCTAGAAACATGTCAAACTCGAAAAAGTGAACCGAGGTCACCAAAGGTCAATGACCTGACCTGACCTTCAGGTGACCTTGACACCCACCCTAATGCATGGGGGCAACATCATATCACATGTTTGAACGCTTGAAACCACGAAAAGACTGCAAACGCGCTGCTAATGCGAGCCGACATACGCTGAATCGCGGTTCCGGCCAAACATGGTCTCGAAAAGTAGGTCACAGGTCAAAGGTCATTTGGGTCAGGGTCATGAAATTTTCAGAGTGGGTGTTAAATTGATCAATGCGAGGGTACTGAAAGTTTCGTCGCGATCAGCCGCTTTTTAAGCGAGTTATTCGCGAAAAACCTTAGGGGGGTTGCATCAACCCCCCCCCCCCCTGTGCGGGCGAGGTCATGTTTTGATAGCAAGACTGAAACATACTTTTTTGGGTAGCCAGGAAATCGCATGCCAGAGCCTATTCAAATTCTTTTATCGGCCTTTATATGCACCAGTCGCATACAGGTACGGGACTTAGCATACGATTTCCAAATCCAGACAATCGAAAGACTGTTTGGAGCCAACAAAGGAAGGAATGAGTGAGTTAAGTTGAAAGTATTAATTTGGTTCAAAATGATGATGTAGATAACCTAGTTATTTAAAGCTAAATATCTTATGACGAGAGCGGTTGACATTTTTGGTATGCAGTGTTATTCATTGAGAACTGGTCGGAGCGTTTGAGTCTTTAATTTAGTGGTCGCCGCCTTGGTCGCCGCTTACTAATCATGCGGCATACACGCCGCACATAACCGCCAATGCTGCAACGCAGCTTAGATTTCGAAGTAAGCATTTAGTCCCACCCTTGGATTATGTCATGTTGCACGTCAACTTGCGTCAACCATAGTCGATCTACATCGCTGAGACGCTGAGCCTGAGCTGGACACAACCACAACACATCAATGCCGTTGTTGGCAAAGTCGTTGTCGTTGCCGTTGTAGTCGAAAATTTGCAATTTACCTTACATGACATAATAAAGGTCAGGGGTGTGTAAGGTGGGCCATGGGTGTGATTTTCCGATTCAGTAGACATTCGATAGTTGCTTGGTGACTAGAGTTCCATCGTTGAGCTAGACCACTAAGTAAGATCACTAAACATTAAAAAATTACACGTTACAGAAAGGCCGGTGCTGCCAAGATTACTTTACAGTTTACTACTCGCCGCAGCTCAGTAGGTAGTGTGTTGGACTCAGTATGGTGAGAGCACGCGTTCCCGGTTACAACAGTCCGGGGTTCGAGGCGCGAGGGACGTTCGGTGTTTATGAATCTCCTGACGGGTATGGTTGCGGTTGGTGGCAGGTCGTAGCCAGCCGAAGTCAACGTGGTTGTGCGTCCTATGCCCACATACCTACGTATGTTAAAGGGACCCTCCCACCTTCAAAAAAGTTAATGAATTGGCATGAAAGTGATGTCGCTCGGTTCAGAAAGAGCAAAAACGAATATCTACCAAATTTCATCGAAAAATATTCACCAGTTTTCAAGATATTAGACTTTTACTTTTGTTTACTTTTTGGGATCTCCGCTGTTCCTAGCGACTTTATTTGAAAGTGCGGCATTTGTTGCGCGCAAAGCAGCATATACCACCGCGTGCTACAAAACGTTTTAGTCAAACATTTAACGGACGTTTGAAAGCCTGATGACGTCATCAGATTCCCGTAATGGTTAAGAGATAGGGACCACGCTGGTCCCACCCTGCAAGTAAAGGGAAGAAATTTCTTGAACACCATAAAGCTGCGGGGGTTGCGACCAGGATAAATGGTGGTTTCTGAGCCTGGCCGCAAACTTGGCTATCTCAACTCAAAACTAATGTTAAGGTGGGAGGGTCCCTTTAAGGCAGAACCGTTTCTAAATAGGAGGGACGACTGGGCAGTGGGCTATGCTATTAGCGGTCACAATTCCGCGCCCCGTAGGGGGGGGGGCGAAACAGCCCCCTCCCCTGTCCTTTTCCGTCGATATCTCCTAAACGGCTAGAGATATCGCCACCAAGCTTTCAGGACCCCTCCGGGCATCAATTTTACACATTGTGACCAAAACTTTTTTCCAGAGGCTATGATAGGTTGGCCACAAATGACGTCAGAATGACGTCATGTTCTGCTATTTTCGACCGAAAAAAGACCTTCGCGAGAAGAGCTGTCAGGCCTACATCTTTGAAGATACAGAAAATGATCACGACATAAAAGGTGTAGAATTGACCGGGCTACAAAACTGCTATCTCGGATTTTTTTTAAAATTACTTTTGAACCCCAAAAATCAAAAAAGTATTTTTTTATATATTAGCAAAAAATCCAAAAAAGTTTTTTTTAAGTTTGAAAAAACGGAATATATGTGAAAGTACCAAATTTCAGATCGATATCTCGTTTTTTGGCCAAGTTATAGCGAAAAAACTGTTAAAAAAGATGACGTCAAATTTTTCAAACTCAATTTTTGGAAATTCTAGACCACGTACGGTACGGCAAACAAAGACCACCATTAGACCCCCCATGACGAGCTGCATCGAATCGATAGCCATTTTATGAAAAATATCAACTTTAAAATTTGACCTAATTTGACCTGACCTTGACCTGACCTTCACCAAAAACGTGACCTAAGCTGGCCCCAAATGCTGCCTGACCCACATAATCGCATTTGTCATGTAAAATGGACCGTAAAACATGTATCACACGACACTTTCATATTGTGACCCCCAGTGACCTGACCTCTGTGACCTGACCTGGTATCAGTGACCTTGGATAGCAAAGTATGTGTTTGAAGAACAATGTACCATCGATGGTTTTCAATAACTTACCAATTTACTCGATTTTACAACACATTTCTTGAAATGCCTGTGAACGGTGAAAATCCGACCTTTGACCTGACCTGTGACGTCATCGGTTGACCTAGGTCAATGAAATTTGGTCAAAAGGTAGTTTCCCGGTGGGGCTATCGAACGCCGTTTTAATTTTGAAAATCGGCCAGTACATTTCCGAGATCTTAGGGGGGGGGGGAGGGTCCGCCGATAGCCCTACATTCGCATTCCTTGAGACCGGCTGAATATTATAGTCCGCACCAATGAGCTGAGTCTAACTTTTCTCACAGTCTCACAGCCCTCATTTACTCAAAATGAAACAGCAAAGTTGGGATTAGGTAATGGGTAGATAGATAATTGGCAGCGCATCACGATTCAAGAGGATATTATAACACCGTCAAAGTTTGTGTAACTATTCGTATGTCCTGGAGGCTGGATTGCCATTCGGGCTCATTAGTTCCAACTTCCAACGGGTCAACTCTGCCACCTTAGCCTTCCAGGCGGTGGGGGGGGGGCATTTTTTTGCCCCCCCCCCCCTTTAGTTTTTTCGATATATCTCGAGAACCGCTGCGCCGATCGTCACCAAACTTTCAGTACCCTCCCGGGAGCAGCTAGCGCACATGGTGACCAAAAATTTTTCCAAAGGCTATGATAGGTTGGCCGCTAATGACGTCAGAGTGACGTCATTTTTGCCGTTTTCGACCCAAAAAAGGTTTCGCGGGAAGAGCTGTCAGGCTTACAGCTTTAGAGATACAGAAAAATGTTTCAGACATAAAAGGTGTGGAATCAAAAGGGCTACAAAACTGCTATTTCGGTTTTTCGAATTTTTTGGATTTTGACCCAAAAAAATCAAAAAATAGATTTTTTAATATAATAGCCAAAAAATCAAAAAAGTTTTTTGAATTTCGAAAAAACCGGAATATATGTAATAGCCCCTACCGCCTACTATCTACATACCAAATTTGAGATCGATATCTCTTTTTTTGGCCAAGTTATAGCGAAAAAACTGTTCAAAATTGATGACGTCAAATTTTCAAACTTAATTTTTAGCAATTCTAGACCTCGTAGCGCAAAACAAAGACCACCATTAGACTCCCCGTGACGAGCTGCATCGAATCGATACTCATTTTACGCAAAAATATCAACTTTGAAATTTGACCTTTTTTGACCTGACCTTGACCTGACCTCCACCAGAAAGTGACCTAAACCGTATCTGATGGTCTTATAACCAACACCATTGAGTTGGAAATGAAAAACTGGCTATAAAACATGCATCGCATAACCCTAGTAAAGTTGGGCTCATGTGGTGACCCTTGGTGACCTTTGGTGACCTGACCTGTGACCTGACCTGGTATGACCAGTGACCTCTAATAGCAACATATGTACTAGACAACTGACGCCTTATCGCTGATTTTCGACAAAATGCGTTTTACTCGGTGTTATAGCGCTTTCCCTTGAAGCCCCGTGAACGGTGAAACATTTCATCTTTGACCTGACCTGTGACGTCATCGGTGACCCCGAGGTCAATGAAATTTGGTTTCCCTCGACAAATTTGACAGGGCTATCGAACGCCGTTTGAATTTTCCGGATCCGTCCAGTAGTTTCGGAGATACGGGGGGGGGGCAAAAAAGTGCCCCCCCCCCCCCACCGCGCGGAAGGTGGCTGGTAGGCCCACCGCCTGCCGGGTTAGTTTACCTTGTTTTCCTTCAAATAGTGCTACACAAACCCTGCCCCGCAGCTGGGTCTTGTTGAATGTTCAAACTTCAATTTGTCGAAAGTTTGGACACTGTTGGCTCGCAATAAGTGGGTGAAATCGAGTAGCTGTCGAGCTCAGAGCTCGAATAAAGCGCCCGGGCTCTGGAAAGCTGTCGCCACCAGTTGGCTCAGTGGGGCTCGACGTCGTCTCACCGGTGCAGACCACGTGCTCAGACGAACCTCGGGGGCTGGCGCTGTGAACGGCGCGTGCTGCGTGGAGCGGTCCTGCTCGCGCTACATGATGGGAATAAATAGATTTGAATGAATAATTGCATGAATGGATGTTTTTTTCATAATAGCACGGTGAGCCTATGCATTGATTTTTTTATTCTCGGTAAAAAAGTAACGATAGAATCCGTTAAGTTTTACCTCTTCGGGCAGACTCCAAGAGCAAAGTTGCCTTAATTTTAACTCTTCAGATTGCTTTCAATTCTGGACATTTAATTACGATACCTATATTGAAAAATTAACCTTATATATGGCATAAAATTATATATACCTATATGCATATATTATATGCATCAGCAATGTTAACCCGCGCACCGACGGGGGGGCGGATATCCGCCCCCCCTGAGGTTTTTCGCGAATAGCGGGAAAACCGCGGCGCGTAGCGCCGCGAAATTTTGTATGACTATTCCCTCATCAATTTTACACATGGTGTGCAAGTTTGAACCTCCTACCTTTCAAGGTCAGGTCACCAGGTCACTTTGAATGACCCAACCTCAAGTCACTTTTTTGCAACTTTGTCACCGTGCCAGAGCTACAGTAGATGTCGGAGGCCTTTGAAAGTCGCAGGATGTTATTAGGTCATTAGTAGCTACAATTTGTTTATCTCGGAATTTTGATATCGGTGACCTAAGGTCAGGTCAATTTCGCGACCTCCCCATTATAAGTCAATGGGGGAAAAATCAACTCCCTGTTTTTACCACTAAAACGGGTCGGAATGGCCCCATATACCATACATGACTTCATATACGATCAACCTTCACTACCTTGAGGTCTGTTTTGCTGTTGGGCAGCTGTGAGGTCATGTGACGTCATCAAAGGTCACCAAAGGTTTTTGGCCAATAACTCCGTAGGGGAGAGCGGGGAGAGTTGTATCATGTCCAAGTTGTATCAGGGCGAATTGTGCCAAACTTATCCAATGGATGGCGCTCGCGACACGACCAGCCGACGAGGTTTTCCGGGCGCCATCTTTCCCTGTTCTGTCTTGTGGCTGATTGGACGCGTCTCGAGGTGAGAGCCGATTTTATGTTTTTTTAATGTCATTCTAAAAAAATAAGTTGCAAGAAAATGTGTGTTCTGGGCATTTAGATGTGCACGAATTTGAAAGATCTCCGTAGCGGTGGTGAGGGTAGGTTCTAAGGCTGCGTGAGTGAAAACGGATTTCTCCAGCTGTCCGCTGTTTTTTGAGCACGAGGATGTTTTTTCCAAGATGGCGGCTAGGTACATGTTGTATCAGAGCCGGGTGGGGTATGTTGTAACATGTATGTATGTATGTAGGTATGGGTATGTTGCTTTTGATCGCGAAAGCTAAGCCCTGGCTCGCGTTTGTAGGTAGCTAGTCAATGCTCGTTCCATTTCGGCACAATGTGTTGGCTTCTTTGCTCTTAACGGGCAACTTTTGCGTCTAGTCTGTTGATGTTTCGTTCGGATTGCATTGACCTAAGTTTGGTCTAATAAAGTGAAGCCTTTGAGCATACCTATACATCGTATTAACCCCATTTAATGTTGTTGTTATGTTCAAAACCAGTAGCAAGCACACTCCCTGAAACGTGAAATAGTGATACAAATTACCCCACCATGTGATACAACTCACCCAAGCCATGGGGCAAGTTGTATCAAAAACATTGTTCTATTCGGGAGACCGTAGAAGAAAAACTGGTAGAGGTAGCGGAAAAGTTACTTTGCACAAAAAAGCAGAAGAATCAAGGAAGGGGATAGTATGGAAATAATGAGTTTATCACGGATAGTTACGAGGTTATGGGTCTCGGAGTAAAAACTGATACAACCCACCCCACTCTCCCCTACAGGAACAAGATACTGACGCGTGGATGGTCTCATTGTGTTCAGCTCGTCAAGACGCATCGAATGATATATATGATGACCTCGAGGTCACGTGACCTGAGGTCAACCTTTGACCTTGACCTTTCGAGGTCAACATATATATCATTCGATGCGGATTGACGAGAGGATCACGATGCTGCCCTTAATTTGTTCCTATCTTGACTAATTCGAAAGTTATTCGAGAAAAACTCTCTCCATATCCAGCGCCGCCATTTTGACTTTTTCGACCCCTGGGGCATTCCACGTCAAATCAAACACCGAAATCCGTCATCCCCTTCGATTTTTCTGAAAATTTGTAGGCAGACTGGGCATGGTTCAAAACTGAGTTACGTATAATATTTTCGAAATTTGATAACGTATCGCTGAGATATAGGTCATCGAATATAGCGAAAAATGCCACATATCAATTTTTTTAATGGCTATAACTCTGGTTCCTTTTCTGGTATCAAAATGATATTAGCAGGGTCTTATAGGCAATTGATAAGGCTTTGATTTTTAATTATAAAATTAAATTGAAGTGACCTTGAAATGCATTTGACCTTGAATTAAAACAGAAAAATCTAAATAGCAAAAAACACGTCACCTTCGATTTGGGTAATTTTTACATATTATGTCCGTCACAATGTTCCTAACCATCTGTGAAAAAATTGGAGTGGGCCATTCATAACTTTCGCGGCAAACGCCGTTTTCATGCATCAACATCACGCAACCGCGCGTGACCTTGAAAGACAGAGTCAAGACATGCTTGCTTGTGTACACTTTCTGAAATGAATGATTGCTGATTAGTGATATCCCAAACTCTGCGAGAATGGAAATGCATAGTCATCGTAGTCAAGCATTCACGTTCCATAGTAAAAGTGTCTCAGGCAAACGGTATTTTGCGGTGAATTTTGAGCCGTGTGGAAATGCATCATGAAGTAAATTCAACGAAAACATTATCACGCAACGATATCTTCACGTCTTTTGATCTTCACTATACGAAAGAACATACATTTTTTAGTATGTATGGGGAATTTCTAGCTAATCCAATAATAAATATGGCAGTTAGAGGCCTGCTAAGAGTAACATGTCGCCGGCTGAGGCGGGCTCGGCCGATGCGGGAAACGCAGCAATCACAATTTTGTGTTTACACGTTCATATTTCAATTGTTTACCAACCGATTTTCAAAACTCTTTCACCATAAGCTTGCCTGTACATTTCTTAGTCTTCTCACAAAATTTGACGCGAATCGAACGTAATCAGCGGTAGGGAGCGCGATGTAAAGACGGAACCGTTCCGTTCCGTCCCGGCACAGTCTACAATTCAGGCGGCACGTAGCGGTCGGCGCCGGCTGCCGAGTCGGCGCGTCGCCGCGGCGACAGGATGTTCACTTTACACCGCTATTACTAGAACAGTTGTGAACCGATTTTCTTATTGCTTGCACGATGAGATGTCCAATTCAATTCTTGACAGGTAGCCATAATTGATTTCGCATTAATCTTATGAGATATTGGCGAAAAACAGGAGGGGTGGGCGAAATTCGCTCTTCCCCCTCCACTGCGCGTGCTAACATACGTTTGCATATGTGCAATTTTCTTCAAAACTTATGAATGGCCCACTCTAATTTTTTCACAGGTTGTTAAGAATATGGTAGGCAATGAAATATATGAAAATGAGCCAAATCGAAGGTGACGTGTTTTTTGCTATTTCAATATTTGTGCTTAAGAACAGAGTTAAGCAAATTTTAAGGTCATATATTTAAGTAGGTGCAATTCTAAACAAATGCTTAAGAAATTACCTAAACAGTAAGGTTTATTTCATTCAAATCAAACAAGTACAACCAAAGTTATGGTCGTTCAAAAATATAAAGATGCAACATTTTGTAAAAATTTGATGCCCTATATTTAGAAGACCTGTGGTCAGAATGTGCGAAAAAAACATCAATGTAATGTCCGGGGCCACACAGGAACTCGCTCACAAATTTATAATGAAATCGCTGATGGTAAGGTGCAAAACAGCCGATTTTTGTTCGATTTGACGTGGAATGCCCCCCCTGTGACGTCATCTTTGACCTGACCTGAAAATGACCTTAGTAAAAATTGTAGATCTTGACCGTGCGTATCCGATGCCGTTTACCGCTTGTCCCTATCTTGCTTCGTTCTCGAGATCTCAGGGGGGGGGGCGGTCATCCGCCCCCCCCCCCCCGTCGGTACGAAGTTGGCGCAGACCCCCGTCGGTGCGCGGGTTAACCCGCGCCCGGCTGGGGGTCCTGGATTTCCACGCCCTGCTGGGGGGGGGGTGTTTGAACACCCCCCTTGTAACTCGGCTCCTGGGCCACGTAGCGATACGCGGAAGGCGGCGTTCGAAAGAGCGTCAAAAATAATGACGAAATCACTTCGGTCAATTTTTTGGTCAGGTCAAAGGTCAGGTCACCAGAGGTCATTGAAGGCAAAATTTCGCCGATTTCCAGGTCGAATGTCGAAAATTTCCAAGAAGCCAACGCATAACTCGGGAACCAATAGAGCTACAGCGCCGCGGAAAAGCGCATTCGATAGCCCTATTAACGCCCTTTCTGAGTGATTATCTCAGATTTGACCTAACGTCAACGGTTTTGCCTGCAGGGGGCAAAAACTGCAAAAATAGCCAATTTTTTTCGGAAACAGTTTTTCTGCAATAACTTTTGACCCAAGCCGCCTTGTACGAGCTTACTTTTACCGGCATCGTGTTCCTCTCGTCAAGACGCATCGAATGAACTATACCTTGACCTTTAAAGGTCAACTTGAAAATTTGACCTCAGGTCAAGGTCATGACCTGACCGGAAAGGGTCATGTTGCATATCAGTCGATCCGTATCGTCGAGCTGAACACATCTAAGGCGTTTTCATCGCTCTAGCATGCCTCTATCAAAAGTTATTTGCGAAAAACTGTTAGATACCATTCGTGACCTAAGATGACCTCAGGGCATAAACAAGGGTCACGGACACCATTTTCATGTTCTGTGTGTCTAAACCACTTGTAATTCGGTGTTTGGGAGTGTTTATAATGTCCTTCGTCCAAAAGAGGCGCATTTCAATTTTCTCCCATTGACTTATAATGGGGAGGTCGCAAAATTGACCTGACCTTAGGTCACCGATATCAAAATT